AGAGAGAGAGAGAGAGAGAGAGAGAGAGATGATCGTTCAAGGTTTTGGAGATAAGAGGGTTTTAATGAGAGAAGAGGCAATTATGAGGGAGAGAGATACCTGTTCTAAAACGACGGTAGTTTTGTGGGGAGGTGCAACGTTTCATAGGGAAGTGAAAGGATTTGAATGAAAAAACGTGACATGCAGGGTCTGAAAAGGTTGATGACACGACAATCATTTTTTTTGTTCCTTTTGAGACATGCATGAGAAAAACACAAGACTACTAACCTGTGGTAGAAGAACAAGGTTCTTGACCGATCTTTTAAAAATGCTCAACCCTCTTTCACCGCTTATGCATTTCCTCAGCAACTTCTATAATCATTATGCGTGTCTACCTGTAATGGTATAGAAGTGAGTTAGACTTGGTCGGACAACACTTTAGCTAATTTTACCTGTATGTGATTTTCATAGCCATATAGTAGGAATCAGGTTCTCAATTAGGCTTTATTAGCCCCAGTGCCAGCCTGTTTCTCTCAAAGTGTTCTTTGCTTAGTGCTTTGGTGAAGATATATGCAATTTGGTCTTCTGTGCTGCAAAACTTTATACAAATAAGTCCCTTCTCCACATTGTCTCTGAGAAAATGATGTTTCACATCAATGTGCTTGGTTCTTTTATGTTGTATTGGATTCTTGGCCACGTTGAGTACACTTGTGTTATCACAACAAAAGAGGCAAGTCAGTATACACTCCAAAATCTTCCAATTGCTATTTGATCCATAAAAGCTGAGCACAACAGGAGGCTGCAGCAACGTATTCTGCTTCAGTTGTTGAAAGAGCTACTGAATTTTGCTTCCTTGTGCCCCATGAAATAAGACATGATCCTAGGAAGTGAGCCATTCCAGATGTGTTTTTCCTGTCCACAAGATAACCTGCATAGTCATCAGCATACCCAATAAGATTAAAATTGTCACCAGAAGGGTAGTACAAATACAGGTCCTGCGTTCCCTTAAGATACCTCAGAATTCTTTTGGCAGCCTTCAGATGAGATTCCTTGGGATTTGACTGAAATCTTGCGCACAGTCCCACACTGAAGACAACATTTGGCCTACTGGCAGTGAGATAGAGAAGAGATCCAATAATGCCTCTATACATTGTTTGATTTACAGGAGAGCCAGATTCATCCATGTCCAGTCGAGTGGCAGTGGCAATGTGAGTGTCAATCACTTTTGATGCTTCCATATCAAATCTCTTTAGAAGCTCCTAGATATATTTTTGCTGACTGATGAATCTACCCTTAGTGGAATGCTTCACTTGAAGACCCAAGAAGAAATTCAACTCACCCATCATGCTCATCTCAAACTCACTTCCCATGAGTTTGGCAAATTCCTCACATAGTGAATCAACTGTTGCCCCAAAAATGATATCATCGGCATATACCTGAACAATGGCAGGTTCCTCCCCCGTTTCTTCAGGAACAAAGTATTGTCAATTTTTCCTCTTGTAAAACCGTTTTCTAAGAGAAACTTTGACAACCTTTCATACAAAGCTCGAGGAGCCTGCTTCAACCCATACAACGCCTTGTCAAATTTGAACACATATTCAGGGTGTTCATGACATTCAAAACCTGGAGGTTGCTTTACGTACACTTCTTCCTTGAGGAAGCCATTCGGAAATGCACTTTTGACATCCATTTGGAACAGAGTGAATTCAATATGTGATGCAAAGGCAATGAGGATTCTGATATCTTCCATACGAGCAACTGGAGCAAAAGTCTCATCATAATCAATTCCTTCCTCCTGATTGTGACCTTGGACAACTAACCTTGCCTTGTTCCTAGTAGTGTTCCCATGTTCATCAAGCTTGTTCCTGAATACTCACCTGGTTCCTATGATGGCACGATATGAGGGTCTAGGTACCAAGTGCCACACTTCGTTTCTTTCGAATTGATGTAGCTCATCTTGCATAGCTGTGATCCAGCCTACATCTGTTAAGGCTTCCTTAATGTTTTTGGGCTCTATTTGGGAAAGAAAGGCTGAGAAGGCAAGTGAATTTCTGACTTTTGATCTGGTTTGGACTCCTAAATCCAGAGGGGTAACTATGCTGTCAAGAGGATGAGAGCTTTTGTGTTTCCAGTTGGGCACTTGAGCTTCATTTATAGAGGAACTGGGTAATCCTGATTAGTTTCCTTGTATTCTTCTTTCAACTGTCTGTGGAGTACTTTGAACTGCATCAACCACTCTTTCTTCAGCTTCAGTGGTTGTAATTTTAGTACCCGGTTCCTCCCCGGCTGATGAGGAAGAGGTTGTATTGTCTTCACTTGTCTCCTTCACTTGACTCATGATATCTGCCTTTCCATTTTCCATATCAATAACTTCTCCTGGAACAATCAGAGGCTCTCCATCTTGATCATCCTTGTTGCTTTTCTCACAAGAAGGGTAGGACTCGTCAAATATTACGTGGATACTCTCCTCAACACACTGAGTCCGCTTATTGTATACCTTGTAGGCTTTACTTTGAGAGGAATATCCCAGAAAGATTCCTTCATCATTTTTGGCATCAAATTTTCCAAGCTGATCGTTTCTATTGTTGAGAAGATAACATTAGCACCCAAATATTCTTAAGTGAGTCTGCTTGGGCTTCGTTCCATTCAGCAACTCATAGGGAGTTTTGTTCAAAAGAGACCTGATCATGCACCTGTTCACCAAGTAACAGGCAGTGGTGACAGCTTCAGCCCAGAAGTTCTTAGCAATCCCACTATCGGTCAGCATTGTTCTAGCCATTTCTTCAAGAGTTCTATTCTTCCTTTCTACAACTCCATTTTGTAATGGAGTTCTTGGGGCTGAGAAGTTATGGGTAATGCCATTTTCATTGCAGAATTCATCAAACTTAGCATTGTCAAATTCTGTTCCATGATCTCATCTAATGCATGCAACTTTTGGCTCCATCTTCACTTGAATTTTCTTCACAAAGGCTACAAAAAATCTTCAAAAGTTTCATCTTTTGTTTTAAGGAACAGGGCCCAAGTGAATCTGGAATAGTCATCCACTATCACAAAGATGTATGTTTTTCCTCCCCTGCTTTGCACTCTCATAGGACCACATAGATCCATATGAAGGAGATCAAGTGGTTTTGAGGTACTGACATCCTTCTTTGGCTTGAATGAGGATTTCACATGCTTCCCTCTAGCGCAGGCATCACAAACCTTGTGCTCTTGGAACTTTGACTTGGGCAGACCACCAACCAGGTCCTTCTGAACCAGTTTATTCAATAGAGAGAAACTTGCATGTCCCAGTCTTCTATGCCACAACTCAGTATCATCATCAACTGCTTTCAAGCAACTCAGATCACCACTTTGTAGGGACTCAAAATCAGCAACATAGATATTCTTGTATCTTTTGGCCACAAGTACCACTTCACCAGTTACTAGATTTGTAACTGTCCATATCTTTGACAAGAACTCCATTTTGTTTCCTTTATCACATATTTGAGAAACACTCAAGAGACAGTACTTGAGACCATTTACATAGTACACGTTCTCAATAGAGTGAGTGAGTGATTTCCCAATATTTCCAACTCCAAGAATGTACCCCTTTTCCCATTGCCAAAGGATACACTCTCTCCTTGCAGGGCTTTTAGTGAAAGAAAGTCCATAGTATTCCCAGTCATGTGCTTTGAGTATCCACTGTCCATGAACCATTGTTGATCGCTTCCTTTCACAATTCCCTGCACAAGGAAATCAAGGGTTAGATTTAGGAACCCAATCAAGTTTGGGTCCCTTGTAATAGACAAGAGGATGAATAAGTGCTCTTCTAGTCCATGCAGGTAACATGTGCTTTTTATGGGTGGCACCTGGTCCTCTTTCAGCAGTTACTCTTTCAGCAAAAACTTTGTTTTTCTGAAGAGACTGAACCCTGGCTTGGCAATTTTCTTTGAAATGCCCATTGTTCCCACAGTGGGTACACAGCCAATTATCATGTACAGTAAAATATTTGCTATGAGGTTTATAAGGAGTTCTCTCCCTTTGAAACCCTATTCCTTGTCTGTTTCCACCATTGTTGACGTACATGGCAGTAATAGCACCCGAGGACTAGGTCCACTTAAGTGACTTCTCAAGATCATTTTTTACTCTTTCCAATGCTGCTTGAAGCTGTCTACATTCTACTTTGAGTTCCTCTATTGTTTTCCTCAAGTCTATAATCACAACTAAGAGGTTATCTCTTTCTTGTTCCAATGCATCAACTTTCTCCACTAAGTCATTCTTTTCTTTACTGAAATTTTCAATGGTTTCTTTTAAGTCAACAACTACAACCATCAGATCGTCTCTTTCATGTTCTACACTAGAAATTTTCTTAGTTAGAACATCTTTTTCATTTTCCAGATTATCTATAGTTTCCTTTAAGTCAACCACACAGACTACCAGGTCATCTCTAGTTTGTTCAGCATCTCCTAACTCTATGGTTAAAGCATCCTTATCATCTACAAGACTATGATAGGCATCAATTAACACATTTGCTAATGACATGAGTTTCTTAGGAGAATAG